GCAGAATAGCTAATGTCTACCAATTTTTCAGTGCCCGCAATCATGTCCGGAGAGCGTTATGTGCACGAGCACCATAGATAGTGCTTCGTTGTTGTATACACTTACCAGTCGTACTCGAGCTCGAGGATGTCGACGCGACTGAGTTATTCGCGGCAGTTATAGAGTATTTTCGGCGGTGATTTGTAAGCAAGCGTCAACTTTCCAGGACGTCCGTCTCTTGCTCTCTGCACTGCCAACTACCTCTCTCTTTACCCTCTTTCTCTCTTTCCGTGATGCCCCCCTTTGGACTGCTTATTGGAACGGAACGTGCTACGGCATTCCAGGTGCGTCAATATGGTTTTGTGAAGAGAATCCGGTCCTGACAGTGTCATTCAGAAATCAATTCAGGATGAACTCACCAGGCGCGGTTTCAGCCCAGATGCTGGTGAGTATGCGCTCGTTCTGTCGTATCAACTGCCCTGACAACTTTTTTCTGTAGACCCTGTCATGGCGGAGTACATAACGATTATGATTATCAATAATAAAACAGCCGGTACGTGGACTCTCCACGTCGTGTTTGAATGCCACTAACATCCTGCTAACAGCGCAAGTCACCGGTGAACTGGAAGACCGTAAGACGCCCGTTTTGTTCGAAATCACCTGCGCGTACTGAGCGCCTCACACAGTCATTGGATCGGATTACGATCCTAGCTTCACCGACTGGCTGTTCGCCGAAGCCGCCAAAGGAGCCCCGGAATCGGAAGCCCCGCCTCAAGCGTCGACCTCAGCTCAAGCTATTGAGACTTCAGTCACTCGCGAACCACCTCCACACCTCCCTACGGATAACTCTCGGAGACCGCCAAACGGTCCTCGTACTGCATTGTATCAACAAGCTATCAACCAGGCGCTTCCCTCCACCTCGCCCTCCGCACAGAAACGTACTGCATCCGCCCGCTCGCCATCGCCTTCGGGTCACGGTCCCAACAAATCGAGGAGAATGGATTTGCCCACAGGCCCTCGCGCTATGTTCCGCGACGGAAATACCAACCCACATCATGGCGGCTCACGCAGTCTGTTAGACCGGGTAGGAGGACGCCATAATAATTACGGGAAGGACGATATACAAGCCCGCATCGACAACATCACAAACAACTCACCCGACCCCAACATGATGATGGCGCCCGGTGGTGGATTCGTGCCACAAAATGGGATGGGTGGGCCAATGGACATGAGTGGCATGGGTATGGGTAACCCGATGATGCTGCAAGAGATGATGATGAATCAGATGGCGATGATGGCGCAAATGGCGTCGACCATGGGTATGGGTCCGCAGTTTATGAATGGTGGAGGGCCAGGTTTCGGTATGCCAGGTGACATGGGGATGTTCCCGGGTGGCGCGCCGAATGGATTCCAGGGCTCGCCACCTCAGCAGCAGCAGCATATGGGTGGAGGTCATCGGGGCAGAGGTGCACCGCGGGGACGCGGCATGGGAAGAGGTCGGGGTGGTGCGCAGGGGGGACCAGGTCCGTCGCATGAGGCCTTCGTACCCGCTGCGGGGCCTCAGTCTTCAACACAAATCGCCGCACCGATACCGACGCCAGCCCTACCTGCTAACGGTACCCCCTCGACGGCGGCAGCCCTTTCTGCATCTACCGACGCCCAATCACGACCTGGTTTCGTCGTGCCCGAAAGACCGCAGTCCCCAACTCTCTGCAAGTTCAGCCTCAAATGCACGAATGCCCACTGTCGTTACTCTCATCCGTCTCCCGTCGCTACCCCCGAAAGTGGTGTTGTACTTAGCAACGAAGCGTGCGACAAAGGCAAGGACTGCAAAGACAAGGACTGCATCAAAGCCCACGTCAGCCCTGCAGTTCTCAACCCTGCCGGTAAGTTTTATCCTAGTCATGTTTGTTTATTGGCCGTACTAACAAGAATTCCAGCCGTTGCGGAGCCGCCAAAACAGAATGGACACCCGCCGTCGGCACCTCCGCACAATCACACGTCTAACCCCACGCCTTGCCGATTCGGTGCTGCCTGCACACGACCCAATTGTCCGTATACACACCCTACCCCCGCAACTGCGCACAAGAGCAACCACTTCGCGCAACAATGCCGGTTTGGCGCCGGGTGCACGCGCTCTTCGTGTCCGTTCCAGCATCCGGAAGGCCGCGTCCTGCCGACTGCATTCCATCGCGGTCTGTCGACTACCGCGCCTCTCGTGAACGTGCAGACGCCCGAGTCTGGCTCCATGGGCGGCCCGAGTCACAACCGGAGTGTGAAATTCAACAATGTCGGGGAGGGTGCTGAGAGCGTGAAAGACAGACTCGAGAAGAAGATGAAGGAAATAGAGGAGAAGAAGAGTCAGGCTGAGAAAGCCGTCGCCGAGGCCGAGGCTGCGACGAAGAAGGACAACAACCCCGTCGCCATTACTGCTTGAGGCCGTCGTCCGCGCTATCGAATATTTCACCACACCGCGGTGCCCCGTCTATATATGCTATGAATCAAAATCGCGGACAATCCCTTTACTTATATTGACTTGTAGTATCTGTCTGGCTCTGTTCCTGCATGTTTTTCCTCTACGTCTACTAAACGCATTTGTTGGCCGTGTTGACAGTTGACTAGGATTGACTGAATAAATCAAACTCGTTTTGTTCGGATGGCCCACGAAGATGGGCATCCGCTGCTGCTGTCCTCCCTTGGCCATCTTTTCTGCGTTGAAATCTGAATGAGCGGCGAGCGCTGAGAATAACTAAGTAGCAACAAGAACCAGACACTTCTCGAGTTTCATCTTTGAAGAGAGTCGAGGATTGATACAATTTTATGCGGACAACACTATGCGAACACACAACAAATACTTAGTATGTACGTTGTTTAGAAACGATTCCGCGTCACCCTCCTGCGGCCTGAGGTTGGCTTGCTCGATGGCAAGACGTTTTCCTTGTCCGGATCCTCGGGTACGAGATCGTCGGGTTCTTGGTTCTGCGGATGCCCGAGTCCAGTTACCAATAGAGCCGCGACGCCAAGAGGATTTTCGTCGTAGTCGGTAGCGGTCTCCTGGGTGTCGTCGGGAGCATCCTCATCGAAATGGCCTCGAGGGTCCTTCTCGACTGGCTCTTCAAGCTGTTCTTCGAGATGCAAGGCGTCGAGCTCTTCGGCAGACATTTTCCCCTTTCCCTTGTCGTGCACCCGGCGGCGGGGAGAGTGGCGGGTCTTTTCTTCTTCTTCTGCATTGCCAGCATCCGTAGCCCTTCTGCGTTTGCTACTGGGAGGACTCGACGGTGGAGACCTACGCAGAACGATTAGCGTACAACGAGGACTCAAATAGATGCCCACTCACGGAAGGTTGGATGGTTGACCGGTCACAGCATTCTGAGCCGCATAGGCGGCGTCTGCAGGGGCTTCTGCGGCAGCCTGAGGACTGTATACAAACAGTCAGAACATGTGTCAAAGACGATATGAATATGTATCTACCGTCTCGCGTCGGCATGGGCCTCAGTTACAATATCGCCTGCTTTCAGCGTCGTAAGGTTACTCTCGGGCCTGAAAAAAGACATAAGCATAGATTATCATCATCGAACGGCACGGCTTACAACACGGCCTCGTTCTCGAGCTCCTCGTCACTACCCGCCTCGATCCATTCACCGTTATCAAGCTGAACCTCTCTGAACACGCCGGACCATATGTCGGTGGTCTTCCACTCGGCCTCGCATTGACGCCAGTACATGAAATACGCCTCCAGTCGTTGGCGCCGGGCCCTCTCAGCACGCGCGGCGGTGCGATAGTCCTCGGCCATCTGCCGAGCCTGCGCAGCCCGTTTGCGGAGGTGCGTGCAGCGTTCCAGAGTCTGGCGGTCGCGGGCGGATATAGCCTCCATGATTGCGACGGTGCGCAGGAACTGCTCCTTGGGGCAGGGATCGGAGGGCTGCAGTCTCTGCGGCTTCCCCGGTGATTGAGGCGGGGACGTGTCTGGAAGGGGAGTATTACATCGGTATTGTAGGTTCTGGACAGCGGTATGGACTTACGAGCGGGGTTATCGTAAAGGTACGGAGTTTCGGATCTCTCGCGGGCGGGCTCCTTGGGAGAGGGGATATCTGCTGTGGAGGATGGGGTAGCCATTCTCGTACTACCAGCACCGGCGGACTCCGCACTGGTTGAAGCCCCCTGGGCAGCCTGGGGTGGTACAGTTTTGCCCATGTCCGGAGAACTGGACGACGGATAAGTAAGCGCCGCCGGTAGTAGAGAACTGTAGAAGAGCTTGACGTACGGTTGCACACCTTCAGCATCCCGCTTGGATAATAGATCGTTGATCATTGCTTCGGTCTTGCCGTTAGCCTTCACGTTATTGTCCTATCGACGCGTGAAGTGAGCCTCGTGGGCGATATACATGTATGTTTTCACTTACTCTGGCTAATTTCTGGAGTGTGGCGCGCGGTAAAGCACGGAGGGCAGCGAGGTTAAAAGTCATGGTGGAAGGTGTACGCAGGAGTACGGGGAATTAGAAAATGAAGGCATCGAACGCGGCATTGTTGCCTGTTTATAAAGACAAGAACAATGGCGACGCGCTTTGGCCAGGGTCAAAGCGCCGTCACATGAAATGCCGTAGCAACCTGCAAAATTGTTTTTTTCCTCGGCGTGTGCAACGCTTGGTAGTCGAAAGATGCACTGACCGTGTAAAGTTCTTTCATGGACTCGAGAAGCTTGCGAGGAGGCTGGTGTACCGCTGTCGACCATTGTGTCGAATGAAATCTTGAACAAGGGTACATCGGATATCGGAGCTCATTAAAACCCAGCGAATATTGGGCAGCAGGAAATCATAGCGCGTACTGTGCTAAAAACGAGGAGGGGGAGGGGAACTACCGGAGAATGACATCTTCCTGAGCTGCAAGTTGTCTGTTCAAAGGCCTCTAGAATTCTTTTGTCTTTGAACAGGCATTTTTGTCACTTTTTCGGATCCTAGGGTTGGATTTATTTGTTTTTTTTGGCATTGGCCTCAGAACACTCTATTAGGGTGCTCCTTACAAGGCAACATGGCCGAGTGGTCTAAGGCGTTCGACTCAAGTGCATCCACTTAGCTGTACAGACGGCTTCGAATCTCGAAAGAGGCGTGGGTTCGAGTCCCACTGTTGTCATTTTGGGCGCAAATCTCATGCCTGCCGGCGTATCGTTAGCGTGTGCTTGTACACGGGTATATTTTTGTGGAATGAATCTTCGCGCAGCAGCTTCAAAGTGCTTCATTCGCGCATTTGGAGTGCATTGGTTGGGACTGACGCTGACCATATACTATAGGATAGAGACGAATGCATCTTGCGAATTTAACGTCAACGCACATATCCATACATTGTCTACGCGTCTCCCACAGGTGAGGGTGTGGCGAGTGTTCACAAGTATAACCACAGGAACTTCCAGGAGACGCCTCGCGTATGCCGTCATTCGCAAGGACGACTCCGGAGCAAGCAGTGCTATACGAACGTGTTCGTGGCACAACTCCTGCGTACCAACTGAGAAAGACGAGGGAGAGGCAAGTAAGAACGTAAGAATAAACTAATAGCTGGATGACTCACCAACACGGCGAAGCTCGCCCGATTCAGGGCATACAAGTGCTGGACGTCGGTAGCAAGGTAGACCAGAGGACTAAGCACGTAAATTAACGGAATAGCATGCCAAACGATAGCGCGGCTTACCTCACGTCTCTAAGTGTTAGCTGGCGTGAGTTTGATTAGATCATTTCGAGAGGCCTGTTCTCGGAGGGGTGCCTCCCGCTCTAATTGGTAAGAGGGCCCTTCGTTTCTGCTAGACTTTTGGTCTGTTTCGCGAGGATGGCTTTCACGTGCTGAACGGCTTTTTCCCTGGCGGTAACTAGACGACGCGCCTTGGAAAGGTCGCCCTCGCGGCGGAGCGCACTGTAATCCGATTTCTTGGCGATGTGTCCCCTTGCGTTTGTTTCTGAGGAGGATGCGGTCTTTTCGACTGAAGAGGGAGAGGTCGTTGATAGCTTGGCGCGTACTTCCGCCAGCAGCGCGTCCAGCGTCTCCAGAGTGGCTACGCAGTCGTCCATCTCCTCTGTCTTCTTGTACGTCTTGCACACCTCCCGTGCACACGTCTCAATATGTGCGAACCGCACAGGCCCGAGCATGATGCCGCCATACCTGCACCCGCCGCCAAATCTACCACGTTAATGCAAACGAAAAGTTCAAATGGCATGCGCCACGCACCACCGCGAGACGATCACGACAGCGTCCATGACCGCCTCCGCCTTCATCACGTTCAAAACCTTTCCCCCTGCCCAGTCCTCCTTGTCGTCGTCGCACCCGCTCTGCACCTCGAAATCGTCCGGTCCTGCGAGGCCCGTGCGCCCGGGCTTCAGCACCATGCACCGCCATGCCGCAATCGCATGCGTCGGTGGCTTCGACCCGTGCACCACGTTCTTCAGGTGGCGGATGGCCTTCTGGGCATCCTGAGGAGTGCTAGCGCGGTAGATAGTCCCGACAAATGTAGACGATCTGTCGCGAATTTCCTGCGAGGTCGCGAATATGGCAGGCTGCGATTTAGAGTGCCGTACAAAACCGTCCAGATTCGACATGCCTCATGTACGCGTCTTGTTACGCATACGAGATATGATACGACGAGCTGGTGGTAAAGTAGTAAGTGCTGCAACTTCAATGCGGGGAGGCGTCAAAGGGCTGATGACGTAATGACATGTGGCTGAGTCTTAAGGGTAACGCGGAGGCTTATCCAAGTTAACGACTTCAGTCCTCCTTGTAAACTGGTCCTCCATGCCAAAGCTCCATCTCAAGCGCACACCCACCGAAGAGGCAGAACATCAATGGCGAAAAGCTCATAAAACCGCCCGCAAGGCTGCGAAGAAGTCCAAGCGCCCGCTCTCCACCTCCGTCGACGATGCCAGTGGCGACGATGAGCCCTCTGGCAGCGGGTCGCATTGGCCACCGCGCCCCAAACGACAGAGGACACCGGAAGAGGAGATGCACACATGGGACGAGTTCGACGATGAGAATCCGTACGGCCCACCGCCGCCCTTGCCGAAAAAACACAAGCCCGACTTCGAAGATATCCGCGCACGCCTGGAGGAGGAGCGGTTCCGCGAGAAGATGGCGGGCGCGTTCGAGGACGACGAGCGGCTCGACTCCGTCGGTGCGCGGTTTAATGACTTTGCGCACGTACCAGGGCGCTGGCGGGACGTCAAGGTGGATGCGATGGACGATGATCTGGGCACGGGCGTAGATCCACGGCACATGGACGAGGATGACTATGCAGAATGGATCCGGATTGGGATGTGGCGGTACGTTTCTTGAGTCCCCCACATATCCGTAGCACTATTGACAGTAGATCATATAGGAAGAAGCACGCAGACGAGCATGCGGAGCAGCAACGGCAGAAAGCTGCCAAGGCCGCACGGCGTGAGCAGGAGAAGCGCGTCAAGGAGGAGACCGCACGCATTGAACGGGCCGCGGAGGAGGAGCGGAAGGCGCGCAAACTTGCCCGCGAAAGCCGCAAATGGGATGAAGCCCGGGAGACCTACGAGGCACGGTGGAAGGACCTGCTCACCGGCGACGACGAGCTGCGTTTCGAGGACATCCCATGGCCCGTCGTCGCCGCGTATTCCAGCAGTAAACGCTCGGCACGTGTGGTGGTGGACGATCTGACCCCAGAGGCCATCTGCGCCTTCGTCGTCCCGCTCGCTGCAGGTTCTTCTGAGGCGGAGCTGAAGAAGGAGCGCAGGGACAAGCTGCGGGAGACGATGCTACGATTCCACCCGGATAAATTCGAGGGGCGGGTAATGCGGCGCGTACGAGAGAAGGATAGGGATCGGACTGTCGAGGCGGTCGGGTATGTCGCGAGAGCGTTGAATACATTGATGGCAGAGTCGCCATAGACGCTTCATTCTCCGTGCATTCAATGCACAAATCATGGTATGTGCATCGTTATTGATGCCTGTACTGCACGTTTACATGATATCCAGTTCAAATGCCTAGTAGCATTCGCCGATCCTCCGATGGATCACTCAATCTACACGGTGCTTGTCAGCCTGGAGAGGCGGAGACTGCCTCTTATTCCGCGGAGTTCATCCGCGAGATCAATGTGGTTTCGTCGAAAAGATCTGCAGCTCTCCACTGCGAATGTGCGCCGTTCTGTGTTCCCGACCAGAAGGCTGCGGTCCAGCTATCCGCTCTCCTATGCAGACACGTCTGCCCAGCGCCGGCTCAGGGTTTGCAGACCCACATGGGCCAATATCCTGTCAAACGATAGGCCGAGTCCAAACTGCATATATATCCGTTGTGAGTCCAGAGTATCGTAACGAGTATCAGCTACATTCGCCAAATACCTTGACACTAAATTACCATGAAGTCCATGCCAGAGCGATTGAGAAAAAGTTCAAAAACGAACGAGTGTGCAGTAAGCTAGCGGGATGATATGTAGTGGCAATGACGGGCGTGATACAGAGGGGAAAGCGAGGGTGCTCGGGGCGTCTAGGTACGAAAGCGAGATGCAAAGAGGGGTGGGGGTGGATAATGAATACGAATATGCGGGGGAGAGCGGATAGATAAATCAATGATGCCAAAGGGTCCATGTCCATCCGAGTTGAATGTTCCGGGAAACAGTAAATCTAACAGCACAACAACAGAGCGGACGAGTCCGTGCTTACAGTCAAATACACGGTTCTTTTCATGCGAGGACGAGGAGGGCGCCGCCGCCAATGCACAGCGTGCTCACAAGCAGACCGGCACCGATGCGCAGCAGGCCGCCGCTCTGGCCGCGCGCCGCACCGCTGTGAGAGGAGGACGAGGACGAGCCCGTCCCGCTAACGAGCGGCTTCGTGGTCGCGCCCGCAGCGGTGGACGTGGCGACCGGGATCCCCGTGCTGCCAGAGAACCCAGACGCGATGCACGCGCTCGTCGCACTCGCCGCCGCCGCCGTGTCCGTAGGCTTCCCCGCCGTGCTCAGCGTCGCGACGCCGCCAAAGTCGCACGCACTCGCGGAGCGCCCCTGCAGCTCGTAGTACGCGCCGACGGCGATGTCGAGCTTCTGCACGGGGTCGCAGAACGACAGCGCGCCGTACGTGCCCGTGGTGCCGTTCGCGCTCACGGCATCACACGCCGCGGAGCTAAGCCCGCAGACGGTGCCGAGGTCCGTGCCGATGCTCGCGGAGGACGAGCCCTCGTTGAGCGTGGAGAGGCAGGAGAGGTTGTTGATGACGCAGGTGCATACGTCTGCGTTGGGCGTGGGCGGGAGGCTCGTGGCCGCGGGCCAGGACGCGTTGCTCGAGGGGCACGCGACGGGCTCGGAGACGGTCGCCGTGTACGAGGCCTTGGCGAGGCTCGTGGGCGTGGCCGCTGCGTACGCGGACTTGAGGTTGGTGAAGTCGGAGTTGGGCGTGAAGGACGAGCCGTCGGACGATATGGAGCCGAGACCAAAGTTGTTCGATTCCTCCTGGTACTCGTAGATGATCCCGCCGGACCACACGTCGGACATCTGGGAGCTGAAGAGCGTCGAGATGTCCCCGAATGTGCGCGGGGTGACGGCGTTGCAGCCAAACTCGGAGAAAAAGGCGGGCACGCCGAAGTTCTGCAGCTCCTGTGTGCGCGCCTGGTACCCCGAGGTCTGGAACGTGCTGTTTCCGCACCATTCGTAGATATTGAGCCCCCAGTAGTCGATGCTGGAGGCGGTGTCTTCGCACGCGAGGTAGTAGGGCAATATCGCGCGCGAGTTGGGTGAATCTGTCGCCGTGTATCCGACTAGCTGCGTGTAGCCGTGCGCGGACAAATATGTTTTTATGTCGCGGACGGCCGCCTTTATGAACGGTGCGGCACCGTCGTCAGTGACGGTGTTAATCTAAAGAGCACATGGTCACTGAGATGGGCGCCTAACGACATGAAATGGGAACGGGAGAACGCACGACTTCATTTCCGATATTGAAACCAAAGACATTTGAATAACTTCCGAAGGCTTCAATTGTCGATATGAAACTTGTCATGAGGGAAACGTCCCAGCTGGGCGAGTCTGTGTTGATGGCTGCGCTCGGCGTCGCGAGGTCGAGGACGACGTATATGCCTGCGGCATCGAGCGCGGCCATGCAGCTGCTGTGGTCGAGGGACGCGTTCACCTGGTACAC